TACCATTCTCAGCCTGGTAAAGGGGAAGCATCTCCCTGGGCTGACGACTTCGGTGCTGCCACTTGGCTATCAGGCCCTCCAGATATATCAGAGTGAGGAGTAGCAGTGAACCATACCCGACTGTATGGGCGCTTACATCATTAGGTATATGACACTATTCGAGTCATGTGGTCCTGATCCAGTTGATGGTAAGCTGTCTGGTGCCCGAGCTAAGCAGGAGATGCTCAAGAGTAATGAATTTCCTATCACGTTCGAAATGGGAATATATTGACATTCAGGCAAACTTCCGTCTGGAGTATTGCACAGAATATGGAACTTAGCAGATGTAGATCGTGATGGGAAGTTGGATATCAACGAGTTTGCCCTGGCCATGCATTTCGTACGTATGCGTTTAGACGGCCACACACTGCCACATGTAATAACATATATGATGTCGATGTTGAATGAGTACTTATCCTTCCAGGAGCTCCCAGAGAATATGGTGCCGAAGTAGAGTAAGCTCAAATACTGTGCGATCTATTGTTTCTTTCAAATTCCGAGATGATTTGCGTTTCGCCTCGCGACGACAAACCGAAGAAGAAATAGATGAGACCAATTGAGAATGATTCGAGTAGATAAGAGTTTCAGTTGATGTTATTCAACTTTACCCCAGTTTCCCGAAGATAGGCTGAATACTTCTCCTGCAAACCTCCGTGATACACTGTGTGCAATTCTCAATAACCACGTATTCCTCGATGAACTCCATCAGTTCATGGATACCAGTATTCGGAGATATTGCAAGGAATACATGAGGAAGCTACCCTGCTGCAATCGCTTCCATCCTACGGTTGCTTAGATATGTCCCTCTTCATACTCCCTCTTCCTCTAGATATGTCTCTTCGTACTTGATAATTTATCTGTTCAATTTGAATAGATTGATTCTGACTCATCAATATGCGCTCTTACATTGACAAATATGAATACATAGCCAGTTAGTAAACCAGCACTATGGAAAAAAGCGACCATCTATTACGTAGCTTTTGGCGTAGCCAGCTATTGCGAAGGTAATATATATAAGGACGCCTAACCCGTACTATCCCCTCAACGAGCAAATTGGGAGCTAATGCGACGAATCAAAGCAAGAAAGCAAACTTCCATGCTGTATCGAGTACCCAAGAAGATACAAAAAGTATCACACTGTGTAGTGGAATACCTCCGACTCCATTTACTAGCATAGCCGTAGGATCCCAACGATGCAAGTAGTATGATGAGGACGACCAACAGTTGTAGAGCGTAATTCACCAGTAACTCTATACCAGTATATAGACATCCCCGTAGCGCCATCACATTAGCAACAGATTCCATCCAGCAATACACCGCATGAGCCTCATATCCATCACTTGGGAGGGAGCTATGAGGGACGCGGAAACTTGGAGTAGAGACTCTACTGTAGAGTTCCTAAACTTCATCGTTCTGAGACAAGTTATCTCATCCGAGTCCTTTCTTTAGGTATCACAAGAGGTTGCTTCCACTGATTGAGGCTCCTATGAGGAGATGGTAACCATCGCCGAGTGCCTGTCTAGGATGATCTGACAGTCAGACTTGGACAGGCCATCAAACGTACGAAATGTGGGAGGGGTCTCATGAAAGGAGTTGCGCTACTGATGGGAGCTGTGTCTCTAGTGTTGCCCAGGAGCATGACTACTATAATCCCGCTCTGGCTATTATCACATCCTAACGAAGGTATGAGTAATGCTACTCAATACTAGCATGATGCTGCTCATACATGACGTCATCACGTCGTCAAGTGTGTACCTCCACTCGACGACCCTCATCTTCACATCATTGAAGGGGCCGTTTGACAACATCTCCATCATTAGAGCCTATCATGTCGAAGGTCAATAGCCGAGTCTAGCATACCCGAGTAGCTACCCTAATATCCTCCAGCTCGAGACCTAGATCGAGTTCTAACTCGTGATAACCTTACTCGACATCCCTGTTAGGAAGGATACACCAAGGGTTGGTGTGATTACTCCTTGGTGACCAAGCAGGATGAATTACCTTATGCAGCGGGATGAATAATAACTTCATGGTCATAGCTTCTCGCACTACACCACCACTAGAGTCGATAGGAGATACGATTAGTAATCAAGTTCAATTACGAGACCCGAGTCGCCAATGCGGACACAACCAAAGGGCAGAAACTTGTAGCGTCGGCGAGGGAAGTAGCACCGGTACAGTATTGCAGAATGTATAAATGACAGCAACAGCCTGTAGTGAGTTCTTCCTTGTATGTGTGTAACTTCCGCTCCGCAGTTGCGTTGCGGGTTTTATCTTCTCCCCACCTCCCACTCTCGGGACAGCTCGTAGGCCGACCTGCTGATGTTGACCTCGAGCGGGCTGCAACTCTGTGACTTACCGGCCCGACGTGCAGGTTTCCAGTCCAAACTTAGTCTTTCGACCGGGACACGTATTCAGAGTCCGTTGTCCTATTCACCATACCGCCGCCCGGAGTGAGTGGGAGGCTGCTTACCGTTGACAACATTGTGGTGACATTTGATATACCGAAGCGAACTGTACTGCTTGCCCCATGCGTCAACGAACGTTGTGAGCAACAGACTAGTCTGGCTAACTTACCTCAGTTACGCCTGACCCACCGCTTGCCAGTAGGCAAAGTTTGCCCCCCCCCCAAATGCTGCGGCATCCGGGGATGGTTAGGCGATGGCGTTGTGTCATGAAGGTGACGATGGTGGCAATGGAAAAACTGGGAAGTGGAATGCTAGGCACAAAAGCATAGGCTACTTTACTAGTGAAGGGGTATCATCATTACACGATCCTCGAGGAACTAAAAGACAATGATTGTTAGAGACGAAGGGTCTTCCCGACGACCACTGTCGTTATTATGAAGAGCGGACATAAACTAGTCCACAAGAGTGTGTTACTGCACATAGATACACCCACAGACACGTTGAACAGAAAAATAACTATAAAGTAATGAATGGTAGAGAGATAATGAGCAAGATGAACTTATTAATGCTTATGGTGGGTTAGTGGTAGTTATGGGATAGATCTATATATCGACACAGTATGTACACAATACTGTTGCCACTATGAAGAGCGATGTTGGAATATTGAAGAGCCACAAGAGTGGCGAAATGTAATGAGAGTAATTAGCAGTTCGAGTAGTCTAAGGGGAGACCAATAATGGATGAGGGCACTCTACCCGATGTTGGTGACCGGCATGGCTCCTTTGGTACTTATAGTGTAGTAGTAAGACTAGTATAGATAGTAAAGAGGGTTTATATAATGGGAACAATGCTAGTTAACTACATTCACTATCGTTAATCTAATCCTGTCCATCTTAGACCATTTATGCATCATATACCAGCCACACAATGGCAGCTATAAGCACTAAAGGACACATAACTACCAGGATGAGTCGTATCTGGCTATGGACTAGTGTACAATACTCCAACTCATTGCTACTACCACATCCCATCGAGCACATAGTCTATCCTGCCATACAGTAGATGTATCCTCCACTGCAGTCTCCTTTGCATCATGGTGGTCTTCATGGCTAGTTGGGGCAATGGGGGATGGGGAGGTCGATGATGATGATGATGACGGTGTTGTCTTATCATCATCATCAGGTAGCTCATCGCCAGGGCTGCTTGGTTCATCTCCTCTCGTAACTGATAGTAGGGATTGAGCATGAAACAGCAGACAGTAATAGAGATTCGGTAGGAATGTAGAGTAGATGATTCGATCCCTCTTGCCAGCGTTACCATCAAGCATGTAATCCAGATGTGAAGCCGCTTCCTTGGGTCCTTGGTTGGGTCTCATAGTACCACTCAATTCTTCCAAGGCCGAGAATGCGAAGAATCTCAAACGATCGTCGGCAGTCGATGAGGAGGATCGATATGTGTCATCATTACCACCATCACGATAGCAACGATAAGCTAGTGTCCCTGGATAACCGCTAATGCTAGGCACTGCTGAAATACTACCACATTACACTTGGCGATGTCACCTTGTTATTACCTCTATTAGTATCATCATCACTCCCTGTGGAGGACGGTGTTAGCCGCCATTGGGCATATCTCATGGCTGCTGCTGCTGCCTTCTTGCTACTCTCTGGAGTAGTAGGGGCATGATGATGTTCCATTCAATACTATTGAATATGTATAGTAAGAGTAGTAGAAAAGCAACCTGCAGCAGTTATCAACACTCCTTCCCGAGGTGATGTAATAACCTTTGTACCCGGCGTCACTACAGGTATGATGCTCTTACCAGGGTTCGAACCCGGAAGACCAAGATCCCCAAGGACGACTACAATAGAAATGGCTAGTAGTTCAAGGAGTAGATCAACGCTCATCACCTTGATGGTATCTCTATAGTGATATAGTCCTTATCTACAGGGACAGTCAGTAAGCTGCTATCACTAGGCGTTATCAGGTAACTCAGTATTGATGATGATGCGGTATGAGTAGGTTGATGATGATGAGAATTTATCAGCACACCATCATCATCATCATTATCAAGGAGTGTCTACGTCTCAGTGAGGTAGTTACTACATGATTTCTACAGCATACCATGAGGTGATAGCTTCGAACATCCGCAATATAGCAGCCATCTGTCATAGTAGTTGAAATAGTTACGGTTGGGTACACTAATCAATACCATAATCATATCCACTGTCACATGTAAGTGAATCTGGATTGTTCATATCAATGCTCCTGGCCTTTCTAATCTCGTTATTATCCTGTTCCACTGATCTGAGGTCCTATCAGCAGTTACCCAGACCCCATTCCCAGAGGTGTATTCAAGTATATTTACATATATATAGGGACCCGGCTCATTGGCTTCCTTAGTGTATGCTTTTTATATTACTGTATCTAATCAGGAGCTATTGCTAGATGTTGGTGTCTTATCAGGTAGAATACTATCACTCCTAAGGATATTATCAGCATTAATTACCAACACCCCCTCCCGCGACCTATCCACATGAACGATATACTTGTCACCAATCATGTTTCATGCGTCACCGCCGTGAACCTGGCCGGTGTAAGAGTGCTGTGATCTCCTGGCCTCGACCGCTACAATCCCTTATGAACTACACTATAGGGGTAGTAAGGCAGCCCTATATCCATGTCTATAGTCGTCTACTATTATAGTACGCATGATCTCCTACATACTGTCGTGTATAAGTTATTAATCAATAGCTCTAGTTTTTCTATCATTACACCTTTGATGATGAGTACCACTGACGGCAATGTATTGAAGCCATCTGCTGTTGGTACTAGAAGGGATACAGGTAGTATATCCATAGGCTACTCGGTGATGTCTCATTATAGTCTATGTAGGTGTACTATACAAGATGCAGAGACGCCAGCCTTTATCAGTAGTACTTGCTGAAGAGCATAGTAATACTGACGATGGAGAGGGATCTCATGGTCTCAAGAAGTGCCTGGGATTACCTGAGGTTATTATTATTATCAACACACTGTGTTTACTCTGGACCACCACACTTTCAGGTTATATCCTTTGGTTTGAGTACCACTGTTGGTAGTGGCATTTTTGTTACAGTTGGTATCATAGCAGTGAAGTAATATATTCGACTTATGATCCTATGATTATTATATATCAGGTATAGCGGACCTGCTCTATTTATGTCATTCCTAGTTGCCATTGCTGGATCTCTATTATCCGCTTTCTGCTATGCTGAGTTTGCTGCTAAGATACCAGTAGCTGGTCAAGCCTACACGTATGTTGACGCTTATTCCTCTCTTTGGATGATAACCACAATTCATTATTCATCAGGTATAGTTATGTATGCATTGGTGAGCTAGCAGGATTCATCAATGGATGGCTGTCTACCGTGCCGTAATGATGTTTTTCCCTTCCTATCATGTAAGCTTGTGATTATTATCAGGTACTGTATAGCATCAGCTGCAGTAGCACGAGGTTGGGCTAATTATGTACAATGTTTCATACGTGCTGCATTTGGTGTAATACTACCATCATGGATGTATGCTACACCTACTCAATATGGTATCATATCATTCTCCTTCCTAGCACCAACTCTATGCGCTATATGTAATACTATAAGCCTTATTGCCACAATACCATCCCTATTCTGTTAGGTACTCTCATTTGTTTGTCGGGTGTAAAGGAGAGTGCTACCTTTAGCTTTAGTATGGCATGCCTTAATGTTGCCTTGTTGCTAACCTTTTCTCTCTATGGATCATATATGTACTACTCTTATCATCATTATTATTATTCTTTTAATACCTACATCAGGTACGGGGACGTTGGTAATATGGATCCATTCACCCTCCCTAGTGATGTGGCAGTTGATGGGGTCGGAGGCTTTGCAGGGGTAATTCGTCTGTAGAGAGCAGCAGGTGTTGTTGCTGTAGTGAGGTGGTTAGTAGGTACTACGTGGATCTGGCCTAGCTTTCTTCTGCTGTGTTGGCTGGGATGCTGTATGTACATTGAGTGAG